CAAACAGCAGGGAGGAAACCCAGAGGTCACCCAATCCATGGCCAACCACAAGGCGGGTCTGCAAAGCACCCTCGCAGCACCCCCTCCCCCACCCTCTAAAGGAGTAGACGTTAGCTCAGGTGGGACAGATACCCACCCCGCTGACCGACTCCAGTCCCTCTAGCTGGTGCTGTGTGTCTGCTTGCTGTTGTTTGCCCTCTGGAGAAGGGGAGAGAAGTTGGTCAGCCAGCGCCTACATCCAAATAACCCTCCCTGGTTAAGAAGGGTGTTATTAAGCCACCTGTTTCCAGGCTAAATAATACTAGTGCCTTCACCCTTTCCTCTCCGGTTGCGTTTTCCAAGTCTTTAATTATTTTCACTGCCCTTCTCTGTGGGATGCAACCCTATAATCATAGAATTTCAGAGCTGGCAGTTACCTGGGAGATGCACGGGGGAGAGCCAGGCACAGAGGGTTAAAGGCCTCGCCCCACCTGGGCTGGGGGGAGTGGGGAAGGAAGCCCAGTGTCCCCTAGACAGCTCCTCCTCCAGCAGAGGAAAGCCCTGCTCGTGTTTCCTTAAACAGAATCCTGTCGAGCAGTTCTTGTGAGCTGTGCACCAGCCTGGCATGTTCACAACTGTTACCTCCTTAATCCCTCTGCAGTCCTTCCAAGGAGCTGTGATTAGCCTCATTTTGTAGGCCAGGAAATTGACTCCAAGAGATTAAGTAACTTGCCCAAATTCACACACCAAGAGAGTCCCAGGGCTCCTTCACCCCAACCCTGCACCCCCTACCCTGCATGCTACTCTCACCCCAACCCAGCTGTACCCACAGAGAGCCGACATCTGAGGGCCCTGATGGAGGGCCCCTTCTCATGAGAAGCCTCTCCAATCCCCTAGGTGACCAGAGTGGGGCTGTGGCAGGACTCAGCCAGGATTTCATGGAGAAACAGAACCTACAGGATATATATTTATATGAAGAGATTTACTTCAAGGAATTGGCTCATGTAATCGTGGGAGCTGGTAAGTCCAAAATCCAGAGGGCAGACTGGCAGGTTGGAGACTCAGGCCAGAGCTGCTGATACAGTTTTGAGGCAGAATTTCTTCTCCTCTAGGAAACCTCAGTTTTTACTCTTAAGTCCTGTCAACTGATTCAATGAGATCCAACCACTTTATAGAGGATAATCTTCACTTAAAGTCAACTGACTATAGGTATTAACCACATCTACAAAATCCTTCCACTGCATCACCTGGATTAGTGTTTGATTAAATAACTAGGTATTACAGCTTTGCCAAGTTGACGCATAAAGCTAATGATCACACCCCTCCTTTATGGGTGTTGATGGGGAGCCACGGTGAGAAGTCCATCTGATCCAATGGGCCTTTTCCCCAGAGTCCTAGGCAAGTGTTGGGTAGGTGCCAAGCCAGGGGACATGGGGATGGCGGATCCCTCTGTGGACCTCCTCATCTTGAAGGTGTCCTCGGGCAGGGTTATGCCACCAGACCCAGACCTGACCACTTGCCCCTGGTGAGGCCCCTCCTTGCTTCTGCTAACTTGAGAGTTACAGTTAAGACCCAGTGTCTTTTCAGGGGGTGAAAGGCCTGGAAGGAGCAAAGGAGGGGCTCTTGGAGTAGGAGGAAGTGTAAGAAGACTATTGCTTGAATCCTGAGGATCCAGTAGGCCAAAGGGCCCTTGAAGGCGGGGACAGTGTCTCATTTCTTCTGCACCCCAGGCTGGGACCATGGCTCACTGAAAATGTGCATGTCTCTGGCCCTTCCCCTTCCCTTGCCCCCTCCCCCTCAGGTGGAGGCCTGGAACAATCTAGGCAGGTAGAAATCAGTCCTGTTTTTAAAGTTCGTCTAAGAAGATAATTTGAAAGCAGGAATAGTCCCACCCAATCTAGAGAATTCTTAATATACAGTCTACCCTCCCGATTTCAGGATAAACTCCACACTATGAAGATAGCAGAAATGAGAAAATGAGACTTCCGAAGTTTTCTTACTGCTATAAAGTTTTGAATCACCACAGCCTTCTTGCTGCTGTCTACAACTAGGGGTACTCTAGGACAGAGAGGCCAGGAAGTCAAAAGAACCATAAAAGCACTCAGACTGGACTAGATCTGTCCCCTCCTGGATACAGTTGTCCCCTATCTCGCCCTTCGTTGGGCTGGAGGGTCAGTTCCTCATTGCTAACTCCCTTCCTTATAGAATATTTAAGTTAGACTCAAAGAAGAACTTCCGGCAGTGAACAGTCCTCCAGCTTGATGTGGATGGCTGAAGGAGGTGGTGAAGTCTCTTCCCTTTCGAGTCCTTTAGAGGACCTTTCTAGATACAGCCTTGTTCAGAGGCAGCAGCTGCCGCCCAACCCTGGGATCCCAAGGAAGCCAGAGGAGTCTCCTCCTTGTAAGGGGTTTCTTCTTTCATCTGGAGGTGACTGGTGATGGAGTCAGGGCTTACCAGGCCACAGCTATGGGTGGCTGAGGTCGTGCCACCTGCTGAATCAGGGGAGTCTTCTAGGAGGGGAACAGCTTTGAGATGCCTCATGAAAGAAGCCTGGGAGGAAGTTTGGGGTGGGCAGGTAGGTGGGCGTGGGAGAAAGGGACTCCGTGGGGGCTGGCCGGGCCTGCCTCGTCTGAAGGAGCTGACTTCATCCCAGCTCCATAAGGACACTTCCCTGAAGGCCCCACCTGCCCGCTCTTCTCACCTCCTAAACCTGCAAGGGCTAGGGTAGGGGCCGTAGCCAAAGTCCACCCGCACCTGGCATAGCGAGAAGCGTTGCAGCAGGAGGGCTTTAAGAGAGGTTGGAGGGTGAACAGGAGAAGATGAGACATGAGTGACCGAGGTTGCTCATGGGATCCCTTTCTTTCAAGGCCTTTAGAAACGAAAACGTTCCTTTGCTGCCAACTTAACCAGTGAGTACAAACAAGAGGGGGCTTGGTGGGGCCTGGGGACAGAGTCCTCGGGTAAGAGGAAACCCCACCCCTCCAGCACCATCCCACACCTCTTCTTAAAACTCTGGCTGCTCTGTGAAAAGCTTGTCTCTGCTCCTGTTCCCAGAGGCTGTTATTGCAAAGGATTAGCGAGCTCAGCCTAGTGAGCCAAAGAGGCAGGGCTCCCAGAACTCGACCCGGATGGTAGGGGAGGACCGGGAAACCGACTCCCCTCCACACAGCCCAGAGTCTGCCACCGCAGCTGGGCCCCATCCAGCCCTTTCCTCGATGGGGGTGCTGGCTGCCCAGGAGCAAGGCAGTGGGTTGTCGCCAGAGGTGACGAGGTGGCATGCCTTGGCAAGAGCCGAGGGTTCAGTATTCCTGCGGGTGGTCAGAGAGAGAAAGCGGAGGGAGCAGTTTTTCTCACTTTGCTCCCTGAGGTCTGTATTTATATGATTGTCATAGTCCAACAGCTCACTTCTGAGATTGACCGAGTGCTACACTTCACCAGCTGCTTGTTGGAGGGTATTGCCTGTGGCCCGGCCCAGGGAGGGCAGGCGGATTTTCTGAGTCACACAGCAAAACCGCTGTGGAGACAGAGGAGAGTGAAGTGTTTGGGCCCTGGGGCCTCAGCCACCTGGCCTGTTGCTGCCTGCATTCTCCTCATGAATGTTGCTCTGTCCTTTCGGTCCAAACAGGTTCTGACCTGCTCTGATGGCAGTAACATAAGGGCCGACAAATGCCATGTGATTTCACTCCTATGTGGAATTTAGGAAACAAAACAGAGCAGAGAAGGATAAACAAAAAAAAAAAAGGAGAGACAAACCAAGAAACAGACTCTTAGCTACAGAGAACGAACTGCTGGTTCCTAAAATGGGAGTTGAGGGGGGGCGGGAAGGGGGGAAGAAGGGGGATGAGGAAAGGAGGGCACTTGTTGTGAGGAGCGCCGGGTGTTGTTATGGAAGCGTCAAATCACTAAATTCTATACCTGAAACTAATATCACACTGGATGTTAACTAACTGGAATTAAAATAAAAAACTTAGTAAAAAAAAATAACTATTAGAAAATATGAAAAAAGTTCCAAAAAAGAAAGAAAGAAAGAAAGAAATGACCTAAGGGCCGCATGCATCTCGTTAGGGCCGCTGGGCCAGGCAGGACTTCTAGACGTCATTGACACTCGGGCGGCTCCCTGACACCCTAGCTAAAGAAGGGATTTTGGCAGCTCAAAGGTCTTGGGTTCAAATCTCAACCCTAGCACTTGACTGAGGCCAGTAAGGCAGCTTCTTGGAGCTTCAGTTTTCTTGTTTATGAAATAGGATACTTGAACAGGTTGTGGTGGGGATGAAAGGAGCCTCTGTAGGTGACAGACCTAGGGCAATGCCTGGAAGTTGGCAAGTAGGGTTCAATAATCAGAGGTCACTGCACTGCCCATCCTCCAATCCAAATCCAACCAGACCCACCTTTCTCCTTAAGGTGAGGAGGAACTCCACTGTCCCAGGGTGGGAAATCTCTCCTCTGAAATCCGGGCCCGCAAATTATAAGGCTATCTGGCTTGCGTGACCCAATTAATGGCCCTCTGTCCCGTAGACCTCGGCAGACACCTCACCTTTCGCCCCAGGGGCCCCTTGGCTCAGCAAAGCCTGCCCACCTAGGAGGACAGAGGTCCCCCGCTTCCTCGGGAGAAGAAGGTGCGTCAGAAAGGAGCAGGCAGACTGGTTGCTGAGCTGTGGAAAATAATTAAACCAGGGGAGAAACAAAACCCCACGTCCTTTAGAAATCGGGTGAGGTATGAATGTGCAGGGCGTGGCCCCCTGTGTAATGAGGTGCTCTGCTGGCTCTGGGAGCCAGCCGCCAGCTCTCCAGGCCCGTTGCGTCAGGCTTGGGCTGGTTGTTCCTCCTCTCCCCTCCTCCTCCTCCGCCCCCTCCTCCGCCCCCTCCTCCGCCCCCTCCTCCTCCACCTCCTCCCCCCGGTTCCCTATAGGTGTGTCTCTGGGTTCTGGCTACCTGACCCACTCCCCGCGCAGACGCCAGCCCGAGAGGTCACCCGCCTGCAGCGCCAGCAAGTCCCAAACACGCCAGCCGAGTGACGGGCCATGGAAGCCACAGATGCCTCCAGAAGCAACGGGGCCAGCCCGGAAGCCAGGGATGCCCGCAACCCCCCGGGCCCCAACGGTACCCTGGAGAATGGGGCCAAGGCCGAAGGCCAAGATGCCAAGACCACCAACGGGCACGGCGGGGAGGCGGCCGAGGGCAAGAGCCTGGGCGGCGCCCTGAAGACAGGGGAGGGCAAGAGCTCCCTGTTCTCGGGGAACGAGTGGCGGCGACCCATCATCCAGTTTGTCGAGTCCGTGGACGACAAGGGCTCCAGCTACTTCAGCATGGACTCTGGGGACGGCAAGAGGTCCCCCTACGCCGGGCTCCAGCTGGGGGCCAGCAGGAAGCCGCCCCTCTCCTTCGCCGAGAAGGGGGAGCTGCGCAAGTCCATCTTCTCGGAGCCCCGAAAGCCCATGGTGTCCATCGTGGAGCCCGGGGAGGCCCGGCGGAACAGCTACCCCCGGGCCGACGGCGGCCTCCTCCTGTGCTCCAAGTCGGGCTCCGAGGAGGTCCTGTGTGACTCCTGCATTGGCAATAAGCAGAAGGCCGTCAAGTCCTGCCTGGTGTGCCAGGCCTCCTTCTGTGAGCCGCACCTCAAGCCCCACCTGGAGGGCGCCGCCTTCCGCGACCACAAGCTGCTCGAGCCCATCCGGGACTTCGAGGCCCGCAAGTGCCCCCTGCACGGCAAGACCATGGAGCTCTTCTGCCAGACGGACCAGACCTGCATCTGCTACCTCTGCATGTTCCAAGAGCACAAGAATCACAGCACGGTGACCGTCGAAGAGGCCAAGGCCGAGAAGGAGGTAACTCGCAGGGGCATCTGCTCCCCTGGGTGCTCCTGGGCTTGGGGCCTTGAGTCTCTGCTGTCCCTGGCTCTTTCCGAATCCATTTGTCGCCCCTCTGGCACCTGCACACTGGGGGCCAGAGGGGGTTTCCCTAATCCTCTAAGGCCTCAGGAGACAGGGGCATTGCCTACATGAGCAAATGGAGGCTCAGGAATGACTGGGGGCTTGATCAAGGTCACAGGATAAGTTCAAATCGGATCAGAGAATCCATCCGGGCTCAAGCCTGGGCTCTGTGCCTGGCTGCAGTGTTTCTTCTTTTTTATTTTTTATTTTAGGGAGAGAGAATTCTTACCACCTGAGCAGGACTGAGCGCTGGGGCAGGGGTCATGGGTGAGGAGGAGGGAATTTGGGGTCCACTTAAATGCTTTTTTTTCCCCCTCTGGCTTTAGACTCTGCATTTGCGGTACAGGGGCTTCTTGCTGCTTATCCGACCCCTGCCGGCCAGTCTCTTGACTTCCCCAACGGCCTCCTCTGTCCCTTTCGCTGGGCTCTGTGTGCTTTGTGTGTGCGGTTGCAGGTGCACGTGCCTGTCGGTGGACGCTGCTTGGGGAGGGCTGCAGTTTGTGGGTGGGTGGGACGTACATATATGTGTCTGTATTGTATATGAAGCGGGTGTTTGGTGCCTGTGTTTGTATATGGGACAGGCAAGTGCATCTGCATGATGGCTGTCTGTGTGACGGTGCCCGGACCTCCCTGGGGAGGAGCAGAAGCTTGTGGAGGCTTGTGAAAGGGCTGCATACGGAGAGAAGGCGTTCTGGGCCAAAGGCTCAGCTGGGGTTGCTGCCCCTTGCCCCACAGATACTGGGCAGCCCCCCACTCCCCTGGTGCTCAATGCGGGGGACGTGGCCTTCCTCAACAGCTTCTCTCTACGCCTCCGATTGGGGCAGCCCGGGACCCCTCCCCGCCCAGGCTTCCTGGCCAAGAGTTAGCTGATCCTTTTTCTGTGCCCCTCACCCACACCCATGGGCAGAGAGAGACGGGTTACAAATGGGAAAAGACGCAAAGATCCTCTTCAGGAGCCTTGTTTGGCCCAGGAAGGTGTTCCCAATTCCCCGGTGAACCCACCCCAGCCTGGCCTCAAGCCTCGGGCTGGGAGACAGTGACAGGGCAGGGCGGTGGAACCCATCCTTCGGGAGCTTCCTTGGGAAACCACAACAGAACCAAGGGGGCAATCATCTTTATCTGGTGCAACCCAAAAAACTGCAGAGCCTCAGACTGGGTTCTGGGAGAGCCAACCAAGTTCCAGCCCTGGTTTTTGCCTCTAGTTAGCCGTCGGACCACAGACAAGTCCCTTGCATTCTCTCAGTCCTGGTTTCCCTATGTGTGTGAACCCAAGGTGTTGGACTAGATTGGTGGTCTTCAAATTCCCCCACGGAGTCTCAGGATTCTTGGAAATGTCAGGGATGAGGAGGGGGGCAAATTGGTGCCAAGAAGGCGGTGGCCTCAGGTGCCCACTTCCACTTCAAGCAATATACACGCTTATTCATCTGTTTTATATGTCGGGTTTGCGTGCAAATTGCATCTGAAACCAGAGTGTCACCTAAAGAATACCCGAGTACCCCTGGAGGGCTGAAGGGTCTTGGGCAGCCCTCTGTGGAGGCGCTGGGAACTTGGAGTTCACCTTCAGGTGCTCAGAGCCACCGTAGGACTCAGAGACAGAGCCCTCGCCCTTGAGGGCTCACAATGTAGGTCAGGAGGCAAAGCTCAGACACACAAACAAGCCCGGGGTTGCATCCGCCCAGTTACACAGAAGCAACTGTAGATCAACATCAAACCATAGCGGGCAGGATGGCAGGCTGGCTGGAGTCCTAGCAATCTCCTCCATCTCCTCCTTCACTTTGCAGACGGGGACACAGGCCCCGGGAGAGGGAGGGACCTGTCCAAGCTAGTAGAGGGTGAGGAAGAAGTCCCCTAATTCTCTTCCAATATTTGAGAGCAACTGAGGGGAAGGGCATTGAGGAGATGGGATTCAGGATATGTGGGCTCTACAGGGGTTTCAGGGGAAAATGTCTGATCAATTGGAGTGACTTAAACACCGGGAGCTTCAGACAGCATGTGTGTGCGTGCGCGCACGTGCATGTGTGTGTGTGTCTGTCTGTCTGCACGCACACCCCAGCGGCATAGGGGTGGTCAAGGAGGGGTGCAGGGTGGCCAGGAGACTGGGCTGGAGTACAGCTGTTTGTCTAGGCTTGGCTCTGCTGGAATGTCAGACGTGGGAGACATTGGTACCGAGCAGGGTTAGTGGGTTGACTGATTGAAATGAATAAGCATGGGTCCCATCGTGTAATGGTTAGCACTCTGGACTCTGAAATGAATAAGCATGTCAATCCTGGCTTCCTTTGGAGGCATCCCCTGTAGACCCAAACATCAGCCCACACACAGTTTTTTGCAAGGAGCCCTGTCCAGAACCTGTTCAGCAGGCCAGCTGGTGAAGGCCCGGGTGAGGTCATCTGAGACTGATCTTGAATGGTTGCACGAGGCTGCAGGTGACAGCCGGGCCGTGGGTGCTCATCTCCTGGGTTTCGACTCTGCCTGTAGCCTCTGAGCGGGGGCCATATGGAGCAAAGGCCACTTGATGTGAAAACATGCCCATCCTTCTCTGGTGGATCCAAGATCAGAATGTTCCAATTCCACTCCAAATGTTAGAAGGGATCCTACAGATGTCCACTCCTCTGCCTCTGGACATTCCCCAGGCTGGATTAGGCTGATGAGATTACAGTGTACATATCCATCCTTTTCTGTGTCTCTCTCTTTTTTTTTTTTTAATATTTTATT